ATTTTAGGTCTTATGTTTAAGTCTTTAATCCATCTTGAGTTAATTTTTGTATAAGGTTTAAGGAAGGCATCCAGTTTCAGTTTTCTGCATACGGCTGGCCAGTTTTCCCAACACCATTTATTAAATAGGGAATCCTTTTCCCATTGCTTGTTTTTGTCAGGTTTGTCAAAGATCAGATGGTTGTAGATGTGTGGTGTTATTTCTGAGGGCTCTGTTCTGTTCCATTGGTCCATATATCGGTTTTGGTACAGGTACCATGCTGTTTTGGTTACTGTAGCCTTGTGGTACAGTTTGAAGTCAGGTAGCATGATGCCTCCAGCTTTGCTCTGTTTGCTTAGGATTGTCTTGGCTATACGGGCCCTTTTTTGGTTCCATGTGAAATTTAAAGTAGTTTGTTCTAATTCTATGAAGAAATTCAGTGGTAGCTTGATGTGAATAGCATTGAATTTATAAATTACATTGGGTAGTATGGTCATTTTCACATTATTGATTCTTCCTATCCATGAGCGTGGAATGTTTTTCCATTTGTTTGTGTTCTCTCTTATTTCCTTGAGCAGTGATTTGCAGTTCTCCTTGAAGAGGTCCTTCACATCCCTTGTAAGTTTATTCCTAGCTATTTTATTCTCTTTGAAGCAATTGTGAATGGGAATTTGCTTATGATTTGGCTATTTGTCTATTATTGGTATATAGAAATGCTTGATTTTTGCACATTTATTTTGTATCCTGAGACTTTGCTGAAGTTGCCTATCAGCTTAAAGAGTTTTGGGGCTGAGATGATGGGGTTTTCTAAACATAAAATCATGTCATCTGCAAACAGAGATAATTTGACTTCCTCTTTTCCTATTTGAATACCCTTTATTTCTTTCTCTTGCATGACTGCCCTGGCCAGAACTTCCAATACTATATTGAAGAGGAGCAATGAGAGTGTGCATCCTTGTCTTGTGCCAGTTTTCAAAGGGAATGCTTCCAGTTTTTGCCCATTCAGTATGATATTGGCTGTGGGTTTGTCATAAATAGCTCTTATGATTTTGAGATACATCCCATCAATACCTAGTTTATTGAATGTTTTTAGCATGAAGGAGTTGTTGAATTTAATCAAAGACCTTTTCTGCATCTATTGAGATAATCATGTGGTTTTTGTCATTGGTTCTGTTTATGTGATGGATTACATTTATTGATTTGCATATGCTGAACCAGACTTGCATCTCAGGGATGAAGCTGACTTGATCATGGTTGAAGAGCTTTTTAAAGTGCTGCTGAATTTGATTTGCCAGTATTTCGTTGAGGATTTTCACATCGATGTTCATCAAGGATATTGGCCTGAAATTTTCTTTTTTTATGTGTCTCTGCCAGGTTTTGGTATCAGGATGATGCTGGCCTCATAAAATGAGTTAGGGAGGAGTCCCTCTTTTTCTTTTGTTTGGAATGGTTTCAGAAGGAATGGTATTAGCTCCTCTCTGTACCTCTGGTAGAATTGGGTTGTGAATCTGTCTGGTCCTAGGCTTTTTTTTTTTTTGGTTGGTAGGCTATTAATTACTGCCTTATTTTCAGAACTTGTTATTGGTATATTCAGGGATTCGACTTCTTCCTGGTTTAGTCTTGAGAGGGTGTGTGTGTGTGTTCAAGAATTTATCCATTTCTTCTAAATTTTCTATTTTATTTGCTTAGAGGTGTTTATAGTATTCTCTGATGGTAGTTTGTATTTCTGTGGGATCAGTGGTGATCTCCCCTTTATCATTTTTTATTATGTCTATTTTATTCTTCTTTCTTTTCTTTATTAGCCTGGCTAGCAGTCTTCCTGTTTTGTTAATCTTTACAAAAAACCAGCTCCTGGATTCATTGATTTTTTGAAGGGTTTTTCATGTCTCTATTTCCTTCAAGTCTGTTCTCATATTAGTTGTTGCTTGTCTTCTGCTAGCTTTCAAATTTTTCTGCTCTTGCTTCTCTAGTACTTTTAATTGTAACTTTGGGTGTTGATTTTAGATCTTTCCTGCTTTCTCCTGAATACACAGAATATTACAGCACTTTAACTGTGGTATGTAAACTACACTTGTCCTAAGTAGAAAGACTAAACCATGAACCTATGAAAAACAATAACTACAGCTTTTCAAGGCATCATCAATACGATAATATCTAAATAGAAACAACATAAAGTTAAAAATCAGGGAGATGAAGTTATGGTGTAGAGTTTTATTAGTTTTCCTTTGTTTGTTTGTTTATGCAAATAGTATTAAGTTGTTATCAGGCTAAAATAATGGGTTATAAGATTGTATTTGCCATCCTCATGATAACCTCAAAGCCAAAAAAACATACAATGGAAACACAAAAAATATAAAGCGAGAAACTAAATCATATCACCAGAGAAAATCACTCAATAGAAGACAAGAAGGAAGGAAAGAAGAAAGAGAAAACCACAAAACAATCAGAAAACACATTATAAATGGTATGAGTAAGTTCTTACTTCTCAGTAATAACGTTGAATGTAAATAGACTAAACTATCCAATCAAAAGACATAGACTGGCTGAATAGATGAAAACACAAGATGCATTGATCTGTTGACTACATGAAACACACTTCACTTATAAAGACACATATAGAATAAAAATAAAGAAACGGAAAAAGGTTTCCCATGCCAATGGAAACCAAAAAAGAGCAGAAGTTGCTATACTTTATCAGACAAAATGGATTTCAAGACAAAAACTATAAGAAGAGACAAAGAAGGTAACTATATAATGATAAAGGAATCAATTTAGCAAGAGGATATAACAATTTAAAATACATATGCACCCAACACTAGAGCATCCAGATATAGAGAGGAAATATTATTAGAGATAAAGAGAGAGACAGGTTTTGATGCAATAACAGCTGGACACTCCATTGGGGAACATCTCCAGCACATTGGTCTAGGCAAAGACTTCTTGAGCAACACCTCACAAGCACAGGCAACCCAAAGCAAACATGGTCAAATGGGATCACATCAAGTTAAAACAAAAACCTCTGCACATGGTTGGGCACATTGGCTCACACCTGTAATCCCAGCACTTTGAGAAGCCAAGACAGACAGATCACTTGAGGCCAGGAGTTCAAGACCAGCCTGGCCAACATGGCGAGACCCTGTCTCTACTAAAAATATAGAAATTAGCCAGGCATTATGGTGCTCGCCTGTAATCCCAGCTACTCAAGAGGCTGAGGTATGAGAATTGCTTGAACTCGGGAGGCAGAGGTTGCAGTAAGCTGAAATGGCACCACTGCATTCCAGCCGGGGAGAAAATATTTGCAAACTACCTCTCTGACAACAGATCAATAACCAGAATATATAAGAAGCTCAAACAATTCTATGGGAAAACAAATCTAATAATCCAATCAAAAATGGGCAAAAGATTTGAATAGACATTTCTCAAAAGAAGACATACAAATGGCAAACAGGCATATGAAAGGGTGCTCAACATCACTCATCATCAGAGAAATGCAAATCAATACTACAATGAATTATCATCTTACCTCATTAAAAATGGCTTATATCCAAAAGACCGGCAATAACAAATGCTGATCAGGATGTGGAGAAAAGGGGAAACTTGTACGCTGTTTGTGGGAATGCATCTTAACACAACCACTGTGGAGAATGGTTTGAAGTTTCCTCAAAAACTAAAAATTGAGCTACCATTTGATCCAGCAGTCCCACTGCTGAGTATATACCCAAAAGAAAGGAAATGTATCTATCAAAAAGATACCTGCACTCCTATGTTTGTTGCAGCACAGTTTATAATAACTAAGATTTTGAAGCAACCTAAGTGTTCATCAGCAGATGAATCAATAAAAAAAAAAATGTGGTCCATATGCACAATGGAGCACTATTCAGTCATAAAAAAGAATGAGATCCAATCACTAGCAATAACATGGATAAAACTGGAGATCACTGTGTTAAGTGACACAAGCCAGGCACAGAAGACAAACATCACATGTTCTCACTTATTTGTGGGATTTAAAAATCAAATAAATTGAACTCATGGACATAAAGAGTAGAAGATGGTTACCAGAGGCTGGGAAGGGTAGTTGGGGGTTGGGGGTCAGGAGATGGTTAATGGGTACAAAAATAATAGAAAGAATGAACAAAATCTACTACTTGATAGCACAATAAGGTGATTATAGTCAATAATAACTTTATTGTATATTTTAAAATAAAGAATATAATTGAATTGTTTATAATTCAAAGGATGAATGCTTCAGGGAATGGATATCCCATTCTCCATGATGTGCTTATTTCACAATGCATGCCTATATCAAAACATCTCATGTACCATCTAAGTATATACACTTACTATGTACCCACAAAAATGTTTTTTAAATAATAAAAAATAAATTAAAAAGAAAGAAAATGTGGGACACATACACCGTGGAATACTATGCAGCCATAAAAAAGAACAAGATCGTGTTCTTTGCAGCAACATGGATGGAGCTGGAGGCCATTTTCCTAAGTGAATTAGCACAGGAACAGAAAACCAAATACCAAATGTTCTCTCTTATAAGTGGTAGCTAAAGTTTCAGTACACATAGACACAAAGAAGACAACAATAGACACTGGGGCCTACTTAAGAGTGAAGCATGGGAGATGAGTAAGGATTGAAAAACTACCTATCAGGTACTAGGCTTTTTACCTGGGTGACATACTATTCTGTACACCAAACCCCCAAGACATGCAATTTACGCATGTAACAAACCAGCACATGTCCCGGCAGAACCTAAAATAAAAATTGTAAAGAAAAGAAAATGGGACCTCATTTATATCCTATTATTTTTTTCCCAAGGCTTTTCCCTGTAGGTTTATATAGCCTCTGGGTTGAAACTGGAAATAAAAGGTTTTCTTGGTTTAAAAAAAAAAAATTAACCTTTCTAGTTCTTTTAGAATAAACAGAACAGAGAGTAGTATGTCAAATGACTAATCTTTTTTTTATTGTAAACCCTAGCCTTCAGAGGACAGTAACAAACTCATCAACTAATATAAACTAGCAAACCAAAACAAATTTATATTTATTTTAAATGCCCAGAACGAAAGCAACAGCACTTCAGTTAAAAGCAAACTCACAGCATAGTTATGTTGTTGATGTGGCTATAATAATTAATCCCATCAACTCTTATTAAACCTTAATGATCAAATCTCTGAGATTTTCTTCAGTTTATAATGGGCAGTGAGTTCACCCGATATTATTAAATCATTCACAGAAAGTTTACAGTGATACTATTAGTGAATGTAAAAACATCCCCAAGTTTATATTTGTTGAGAATGATACAGAAGAAAAATTTAAATGAGGTGTATTTACTAATATCTATTGAAGTGGCATTAATTACCCCGAAACTTAGCACTATAACACAACAGTATGATCTCAGTCTTTCTGCAAGTCAGGAATTCAGGTGCAGCTTAGCTGGATCCTCTGGCTTTGGATATCTCACAGGGATCATCTCAGAAAGCTGAAATCAAGCTGTCAGCTGTGTCTGAAGCATCTTGAAACATGACTGGTAGTGGAATGACTTCTACACTACAATGGCTGTTGGCAGGATTCAGTTCCTTGCAGGCTGTTGGAGTGAGAGCCTCAGTTCCTCACTGACTGTGGACTGGATGTCACCTTTGGTTCGTTACCGTGTAGGTGTCTTATTGGTAACTCACAACACGACAACTTGCATCATCAGCGCAAACAAGTGAGAAGAGCCAGAGAGTCTGCAGGCAAGACAGAAGTCACAAACTTTTACAACATAATCTCAAAGTGGTATCTCATCGCTTTTGTCCACTCTATTTACCAGAAGAAAAAGTCACTAGATCCACACAAAAGAGTGTGACTACCAGGATGTGGAGATCATTGAGAGTTATTTCAGAAACTGCCGACCATATGGAGCTACTACTACTAAACTCTGCAGGTTGTCTGGGTTGAAAAGTGTCCCCCTAAAATTCACAGCTTTCCCAGATCCTTAAAATGTGACCTTGTTTGGAAATAAGGTTGTTGCAGATGAAATAGTTAATTTAAACTTAAGTCATACTGCAGTAGAGCGTGCCCTTACTCCAGTGACTGGTGTCCTTATAAGAAAAGGAGACACACAAGGGAATGCGATGGAGTAATTGAGGTAGAGGCTGGAGAGACGCATCCTCAAGCCAAGAAACTCCTAGGATTTTCAGCAACTACCAGAAGCTAAGAAGAGGTAAATGATTCTACCTTGGCGTCTTCGAAGGGAGTATGGCCCTGCTGAGAGCTTGCTTTTGTATTTCTAGCCTCCAGAACCTTTAGAGAATAAGTTTCTGTTGTTTTTAGCCATTCAAGTTCGCCATATTTTGTACAGGAGCCCTAGGAAACTAATACAGGAGTATTGGGACTTTTATTTAGATGCTAACTTAAAGAATAACTATATTAACCATCCTGAAAACAGTCTATAAACCAGTGTTTTCTTCAAGTTAAGTTGGGTTAACATACAATTCTTTTTGAAGATGAAAAATTATCACATACTATCTATGTGAAACTATTTTCATTATTAATTACATTAATTTTATGTGATAGATGATGCTGTTTTGCTGAACATGAATGGCAATGGTTAGGGTTAATAGCAGAAGATTATTTGCAAATTTTATACTTCATTTATTGTGAGTTGGACAAACTTGTGGGTGGCCTCCTGATCCCTGTCTCATGGTATTCACACCCTTGCATAATCTCCTCTCCTTGAGTGTAAGTAGGATCTGTGACTTGCTTCTAACCAATAGAATATGGCAAAGGTGATGGGATGTCACATTCATAATTACAGTGCATCCTATAGAATTCCATTCTGCTAGAGACTCTCTCCACTGCCAGCTTTGAGGAAGCAATTTGCTATGGTTCCTATAGCTACAAGTAAGTGAATACTGTGAGCAACTTGAGTGAGCAAGGAAGCAGATTCTTCCTCCATCAAGTTCTTTATATAAAATGGCATAGTATTTGCACATAACCTGTGCACATCCTCTTGTATACTTCAAAGCATCTCTAGATGATTTATAATATATAATACAATGTAAATGCTATGAAATAGTGATTATACTATGTTATTTTATTTGTTGGGTTTTTTTTTTTACTTTTGTATTGCTACTTTTTTTTTTTTTTTTTTTTTGAGGCAGGATTTTACTTTGTTGCCAAGGCTGGAGTGCAGTGGCACAATCGCAGATTAATGCAACCTCCTCCTGTTGGGCTTAAAAAAGTCTTCCACCTTGGCCTTCCAAGTAGCTGGAACTACAGGCACGTGCCACCCACCCAGCTAATTTTTTTGTATTATTTTTTTCTTTCGTAGAGATGGGTCTTGTTATTTTGCCCAGGCTGGTCTTGAACTCTTGGCCTCAAGAGATTTCTCAAAGTGTTGGCATTACACGCATGAGCACAGTGCCCAGCCTTGTATTGTTACTTTTTATCAGTTTTTTTTACCCAAATATTTTTGATCTTCAGTTAATTAATCCTCAGATGCAGAACCACAGATGTGGAGGCCAACTGTTCTCAGAACTAAGAGAATTATTAAATTTGGGAGTGGGTGGGGATGGGTAAAAGTGTGAGATTTTTATAAGATGACCTTTTGTAATATTAGTATGGTGCTACCTGATGCCATAAGAAGACTCGATTCTTCACTCACTTTTCTCAATTTACTCTGAAAACTTAATCCATGCAGCACCTTATGCTGTCGTTTATCCTTTACTGGGCGAAGCATAAGTCCTAATCATAAATGCAGACTCCACAGGGACCTTTGGGTCATTCTCAGTTATAACTGTTCAACCAGATGATCTAGAATATATTTATTTTTCCTTATATTAAAATTTTAGATCATTTTGCAAATGAAACTGCAAAATATAAGTTTTCATTAATAAATATACAAAATTATCCCCACAGACACTTAGATCTGCACCTCTTCTCATTAAAACAGTAGAACAAAAGCAAGTAAAAGTGATATTAAGAGGATAACTTGAATTATTTTAATGTACAGTTAATGTATTAATGTGAATGATTTGCTACATTTGTTTCAGTAACAATTATTAGTTACAAAAAAGATATAATTCCCCTTTGTCACCAGCTTGGGATGCAAAGATATAGACAGGCTCCAACCTTATTCCTAAATCAAACAGCCCTCCTCCACCCCCATCACTTTTCAGTTATGCCATAGAGATTTACCAAGGACCCAGGAATATCCCCACAGTGGACGTTTATGCAAGATGCTGCACTCATATCCATGTGGTGGGGTGCCCTGACCTGGTCATCAGCTCCAAGGTGAGGTACTAGGTGAGTCCAGTCTCTACTTTCAATAATGCTTTGACACCCCACAATCAATGCTCAGACCTTAGAAACCCAGGACCTCTACCTTCTTTGGAAGGATAGATGTGTTGGGGCACATAGAACAGGAATACCTTGCAACCGTCACTGGTAATTAACCTATCACCCAAGAACAGAAAAGTGGGTGTCTTAGTCCATTTGGGCTGCTATAATAGAATACCATAGTCTGGGTGGCTTATAAACAATAGAGATGTATCCCTTCCCATCCTGAAGGCTGGGAACTCCAAGATCAAGATGTAGGCAGACTTGGTGTCTGGGAAGGGCCCACTTCCTCGGGCACAGACAGTCATTTTTTCACTGTGTCCTCACATGCTGGAAGTAAGGAGGGAACTGTCTGGGATCTGTTTTATAAGGGCACTCACTTCATTTATGGGGCCTTGACTCTTATGACCTAATCACGTCCCAAAGGCACCACCTCCAAATACTATCACACTGGGGACTAAGTTTCATTATATGAATTGGGGGTGGGGGAGGAAAACAGAAACATTCACTCCTTAACAAGGGGCTTCTTGATAAAGCATAAAATAAGGAAATTCATTGGTAAAGTTTATTTGATGACACTTACACTCTGAATTAATACATTTTTAGCAGCACATCTCATAGCTGGTAGCAAAACAATGATGTTATGATCATGTATATTTTTTAAGAAACATTGCCCAAATATACGTTTACATTTACTTGGTAGATTTCAAGAAAAACTTAAAAGTATGGTTGTTATGGACTGAAGCTCTGTATCCCCTCGAAATCCTTACGTTAGAGCCCTAGTCCTCCATGTGATGATATTTGAAGATGGAGCCTTAAGAGAGTAACTAGAGTTAGATTAGGTCATGAGAGTGGGGTCCTTGTAATGGGATTAGCATCCTTCTAAGAAGAGAAAGAGAGACCAGAGTGTGTGCATTTTCTCTCTCTCCCTCCTTCCCTCCCTCTTTCTCCTCCTCCCCCTCACCATCCACTCCTCTTTTCCCTCTCTCTGCATCTCTCTTCCAACATGTGAGGACCCAACATGTGAGGACTCAGGGAGAAAGCAACCATCTACAAGCCAGGAAGAGGGCCCTCAACAGGAACAGAATTGGCCTGCACCTTGACCTTGGACCCCCAGCCTTCAATACTGTGAAGCAAATGTTGTTTAAGCCATTTAGTCCATGGTATTTTGTTAGGGCAGCCTGAGTAGCCTAAGACATCAGTACTTAAATGTAGTCATAAATCTGCATTGCCAACAAAAGGAACACTGCAAATCTTCATTATAGCAATTCCACTTCTAAGTCTTTAGCCTAAAGAAATAAAAACATGTCCACAAAAAGATTTGTACAGAGCTTCCAGTTTCCAGTTCAACATGTAAAGAACTTGGCAGGTGTCACTCCATCAACAAGTAAGGAGCTGAACAGACTAAAAATCAGCACCTATTCTTAGATCTATCAGAGAAGTGAGGTCTCATGGCAAACTGCTGCTCCAAAAATTAAAGAGAGAGAGAGGCAGATACAGAGAATGACAACTTATCAGAGCAAAAGCCTCTGTGGGAACCACTGCTGGAGTAGAAAAACCTGAACTGTAATTGATGAGTTGCTGGAGGCTCAGTGTGGGCAGCTCTGAGAGTTAAGACCTCGGGGTGGGGGAGCCACCATGGGGAAGAACCCACATTTTCTGACTTACCTCTAAGAGCTCTAGTAAAATCTCACAGTATAGACACCTTCCTTCTTCTGGCTGCAGGAGGATAAAAGCAATCATTTTGAAATAAGTCAGGGCATTTTGTTCTTAATAAGACCTGCCCTCAGGAGAAATTATTTTACCAAAGCCTAACCTGTTGGGGTTTTATCAGAGCCTAATTAAACTACGGCAAGGGAAATACCCAACTATCCAAACCCTCTAGATATCATGTCTCATCTAAGGAAGTAAAAAAATATAAGAAGCATTTCTGAGGTTTATAGTCCATGGACAGAAGCTCACTGGAAGACTAAGACCTAATCATGGGACTATGGAAAGCTTCCCCCATGCCCTGCCCCTTACCACCACATTGCTAAAGGTCTATTTACTCAATTCCTTTCACCTAGTACATCCTACTCTGCTTTTAACAAAAAAATTACAAGCATACTAAAATGCCAAAAAAGCACAGTTTGAAGAAAATGAGAAAGTACCAAAAGCAGAATCGGATATGGCAAGAATCTTACAAATATCAGGCCAGGACTTTAAATTAACTATAATTAATATGGTAAGTAATCTAATGGAAAAAGTGCGCAACATGAAAAAATCAATGAATGATGTAGGCAGAGAGACAGAAGTTCTACAAAAGAATAAAAAAAAAATGCTAGCTAGAGATTTTAAAACTCTATAGTAGAAATGAAGGATGCTTTGGATGTGCTCACTAGTAGACTAGACACAGCTGAAAAGAGAACCACTGAGCTTGAGGATGTGTCAATAGAAACTTCTGAAACTGAAAGGCAGAGATAAGGAAACTAAAACAAAACAAAACAAAACAGAAAAGAATATCCAAGAACTATGGGACAGTTTTAAGAAGTATAACATATAAGTAATGAGAATACCAAAGAAGTATGAGAAAGGAAAAAAAGAAATGTCTGAAGAAATAATGACTACAGATTTCTCCCAAATTAATGTCAAACAAAGATCTAGCAAGCTCAAAAAAAACACCAAGCAGGATAAATCCCCCCCAAAAAAGAAAAGAAAACTGACAAAACAAATTGTGCCTGGGCATATCATATTCGAACTGCAGAAAATCGAAGATAGAGAAAAAATCTTGAAGTAAGCCAGAGAGCGCTGGTAGGGGAAAAACCCTTAACAGTAGAAGATAAAGATAAAAATTACAACTGGTTTCCTTGGAACCCAAGGAAGCAAGAAGAAAATGGAGTGAAATAAACTGAGAGGGAAAAAGACACCAATCTAGAACTCTGTGTCCTGCAAAATTATCCTTCAAAAGTGAAGGAGCCAGGTGTGGCTCCTGTAGTCTCAGCTATTCAGGAGACTAAGGTGGGAGGATCACATGATGCCAGGAGTTCAAGGCCAGCCTGAGCAACATAGTGAGACCACTGTGTCTTTAAAAAAAAAAGAGGGGGGGGGGGGTTGGGGGGGGCGGGAACAAAGAGAAAATAGGCTTCCACAAAAAAAATTTTTATCAACCTTATTAAAAATAGCCAAAACCTGGAAACAACCCAAATGTCTAAGATAGGAGATAAAAGATGGTATGTTTATATAACGGGATACTGTTTGATAATTAAAAAAAAAAACAAAACAAAACAAAAAAAAAACAGCAACCTACTAATACATACACCAGGATAGATAAATCTCAAAAAAGTTTTTTTGTTGTTTTTGCTTTTTGAGACAGAGTCTTGCTCTGTCTTCTAGGCTGGAGTGCAGTTGCTCACTGCAACCACCGCCTCTGGAGTTCAAGCGATTCTCATGTCTCAGCCACCCAAGTAGCAGGGACTACTGGCACGTGCTACCATGCCTAGCTAGTTTTTGTATTTTTAGTAGAGATGAGTTTTTGCCATGTTGGTCAGGCTGGACTTGAACTCCTGGCCTAAAGTGATCTGCCTGCCTTGGCCTCCCAAAGTGCAGGCATGAGCTACCACACCCAGCCTGGATCTCAAAAACTTTTGTTAAACCAATGAGGCCAAACCCAAAAGTGTATATATTGCATGATGCAATTTACATGAAATACAAAAACAAATAAATCTAATCTATAATAATAGAATCAATTTTTGACTGTGATATGGAATGGAGTAAAAATTGGAAAGAAACACAAAGGACTTTCTACACAATGAGAAACAATATCTTGCTTTGGGTAATAGTTACAGGAATGCACATAATTGTAAAGTTCATCATATGAAATACTTAAGATCTGAGCATTTCATCGTATGTTAATTATAACTCAATTAAAAATTTATTTACATATAAGCAATTTTAAAACAAAATTGTATCATACCTGCATCATTTTAAAATAGACCTAGGCAACATAAAGACTGGCCAGAACACTGACCGTGAATTGACTTTTTTTCTGGTCTTAACTCCAGCTGCAAAGCACTTCAAATGGCTCACCTCATAAAAAAAAAGGAGGAAACAGATGTTACATCCCACCTGATTACTTTGAGCCTAGTGTCTCCATCTAGTTTTCAAGAACTATAGTGATAATAATAATAATAACTAATGTTTGTTTAATGTTTATTATGTGCTAGGCATTGTACCAAGTATTTTGTATATATTATCTCAATTCATCTTTACAACAGTTCTTTAATTCCATTATTTTCATCATATTACAATAATAATATTGAAGCTTAGAATGGTTGAAGAGCTTAGGCATTAGAAGGAAAGTTCCTCTTGAGTTCATGTCGTTTGTAGGGACATGGATGAAGTTGGAAACCATCATTCTCAGCAAACTATCGCAAGGACAGAAAACCAAACATCGCATGTTCTCACTCATAGTTGGGAATTGAACAATGAGAACACTTGGACACAGGGTAGGGAACATCACACACTGGGGCCTGTGGTGGGGTGGGAGGAGCGGGAAGGGATAGCATTAGGAGATATACCTAATGTAAATGATGAGTTAATGGGTGCAGCACTCCAACATGTCACATGTATACATATGTAACAAACCTGCACGTTGTGCACATGTACCCTAGAACTTAAAGTGTAATGATAAAAAAAGGAAAGTTCCTCAACATAATAAAGACCACTTCTGCAAAAACCTCAGCTGACATTGTAATCAATTTTTCCACTAAGATATGGCACAAGACAAAGATATACACTTTCATTACTTCTGTTTAACAGAGTACTGTAAGTACTAGCAAGAGCAATCAGACAAAAAATAAGAAAGAAAGAAAGGACATCCAAATCTGAAAGGAAGAAGTAAAATTATCTCTATTTGCAGATGACAAAATCTCATAAGTTTAAAAAAAAAAAAAAGACTCCACACCAAAAAGAAAAACTGTTAGAACTAATAAATGAACTTAGTAAAGTTGCAGGATACAAAATCGACATATGAAAATCAGTAGCACGTTTATACACAAAAAGCAACCCAGGAGGCGGAGCTTGCAGTGAGCCGAGATCGCCCCACTGCACTCCGGCCTGGGCAACAGAGCGAGGCTCCGTCTCAAAAAAAAAGAAAAAAAAAATTGCAAACAAAATCAAGAAATCAATTCCATTTATGATAGCATCAAAACAATACCTGGGAATAAATTTAACCAAGGAGGTAAAAGATCTGTATACTGGCTGGGCACGGTGGCTCACGCCTGTAATCTTAACACTTTGGGAGACCTAAGTGGGCAGATCACTTGAAGTCAGGGGTTTGAGACCAGCCTGGCCAACATGGCGAAACCCCATCTCTACCAAAATACAAAAATTAGCCTGGAGTGATGGCACATGCTTGTAATCCCAGCTACTAGGGAGGGTCAGGTAGAATCACTTGAACCTGGGAAGCAGGAGTTGCTGTGAGCTGAGATCATGCCACTGCACTCCAGTCTGGGTGACAGAGTGAGACTCTGACTCAAAATATATATATATATATATACATACACATATATATATACATGCTGAAAACTATAAAACATTGATAAACAAAAGGCACAAATAAATGGAAATATATCCTGTGCTCATGGATCAGAAAATTCATATTGTTAGAATTACATACTGAGCAAAGCAATATAGAGGTTTAACATTATTCCTATCAAACCCCAATTGCATTCTTCAAATTCCATATGAATTTTTCTTAAATTCATATAGAACCACAAAATACCCAAAAAAGCCAAAAGAATTCTGGGAAAGAAAAAGTGGCATCACACTTCCTGTTTTTAAATTATGTTACAAATTTGTGGTAATCAAGAGTATAGTGCTAGCATAAAAACAGACACATCGACCAGGAGAATAAAATAGAGACCCCAGAAATGAATTCAAACATTTACAATCAACTAATTTTTGACAAGGGCACCAAGAGGATACAATACGGAAAGGATGGTCTCTTTAATAAATGGTGCTGGGAAAACAGAATTTTCATGTAAAAAAGAATGAAATTGGACCCTTAAGTACCTTATACAAAAATTACCTCAAAGTAGATTAAAGAATTAAATATAAGTCAAGAAAGTGTAGAACTGCTGGAAGATAATGTAGAGAAAAATCTCCTGGACACTGGTTTTGGTAATGAGTTTTTATTTATTTTTTGTATCACACCAAAAGCTCAGGACACAAAAGCGAAAATAAATAAATGAGACTACATAAAACTAAAAGCTTCTGCACAACAAAGGGAACAGTCAGCAAAATGAAATGGCAGTCTATGGAATGGGAAAAAATATTTGCAAGCAATATATATGATAAGAAGTTAGTATCCAAAATGTATACAACTCAATAGTGGAAAACCAAATAACCTACTTAGGCCAGGTATGGTGGCTCATGCCTGTAATCCCAACACTTTGGGAGGCCAAAGAGGGTAGGATCACCTGAGGTCAGGGGTTTGAGACACCCCTAGGCAACACAGAAAGACCCTGTCTCTCCAAAAAACTTGTAAAAAGCTGGGCATGGTGATGTGAGTCTGAAATCCCAGCCACTAGGGAGGCTGAGCTGGGAGAACCACTTGGGCCCAGGAAATCAAGGCTGCAGTGAGCCAAGATCACACCACCATACTCCAGCCTGGATGACAGAGTGAGATTCTGTCTCTTAATTAAAATAAAATAAAATAAGTTGATTAAAAGATGGACAAGGGACTTGAAGAGACATTTCTCCAAAGAAGATATAAAAATGGCCAACAGGTATAGGAAAAGGTGTTCAACATCATTAATTATCAAGGAAATGCAAATCAAATGATTATGAGACACTATGTGACATCTGTTAGGATGGCTATTATCAAAAAGTCAAAAGAGGGGAGAAAGAAGGAGAAGGAAAAAAAGTCAAAAGATAACAAAAGTCGACTAGGGTGTGGAGAAAAGGGAACTCTTTTACTCTGTTGGTAGGAATGTAGATTGGTACACCCATTATGAAAATAGTATGGAGGTTTCTAAAGAAATTAAAAACAGAATTAACATATGACCCAGCAATCTCTCTTCTGCACATATACTCAAAGGAAATTAAATCACTACCGTGTAAAGATATCTGCACACTCCCTTGTTCATTGCAGCATTATTCACAATAACCAAGTTATAGAAACAACTTAGGCGTCCATTGACGAACAGAGGGATAAATGGTGGTACGTATGTCAATGGAATATTATACAGCCAAAAAAAGGAATGAACTATTGTCATTTATCACAACATGGATAGGCTTGGAGGACATTATTCTAAGTGAAATAAGCTAGACACAGAAAGAAAAATATAGCATGATTTCACTAATACGTGAAATCAAAAACAAAAAAATCAAATATACAAAGAAAACAAAACAGAAGTTACACCTGTGAGGGTGGAGAGAGAATTGGAGATATAGGTAAGAGAATGTAAAGTAGCAGATATGTAGGATGAACAAGTCTAGAGATCCAAGGTACACCATGAGGACTATAGGTAACAAAATTGTACTGTATATGGGATTCATGCTAAATGGGTAGACTCAGCTACTCCTCACACACACACACACACACACACACACACAAATGGGTAACAATGTAAGGCGATGGATATGCCAATTTACTTTACTATAGTAACCATTTCACCATCTATATGTATCCCATAATATCATGTTGTATACCTTGATTATACACAATAAAAATTATCACAAAAAAAAAGACTGAACTATAACTAAAGTTTGAAACAAAGCCAGGCCTCGACTCCAAAGTCTATGCTTTTAACCATTACACCATATGGTCTATCCAAAATTATTCCTGCTAACGAGACTTGGAAACTACTAAGTTATCTGTTTTATGATGGTGGTATGGGAGAAAGAAAGAAATCAGAGAAGACATACGGAGCAGTAGCTTATTAAGGTAAAAGTTGTTACTTATAATCCCTACTACTAGTTCAATATGTCACCTTGGCTTCACAACT